CCGCCCCGGGGTCAGCGCGCCCGGTCGCCGCAGCGCCGCGCCCCGCGCCCGCCTCTGCCCCTGCGCGGTCCGAGGCCGCCTGCCCCCGCTTGCCCAGGTCCTTCCAGCTCCACGGCCTCTGACCACGGACCTTGCGGCGAGGTCATGCCCCGCGCCTCTTCCGGCTCCTCGAGTCCTTGCTCTAAACTGCCCGGAAGTCCCAGATGGGCCTCCTTCTTGAGTTGTTCAGGTGAGGAAAACTTGACTCACTGTCCTGCCTTTTCTCGCTCTCTCCCTAGGAGGCGCTCTGGCTCACCCAGACCGGATCACTTTTCCCAGCCCTGGTGAGTAGAGGGAAAGTTAGGGTTCTGGGGCTTGGGAATGAGGACGCAGCCGAGAGACTCTCCTGAATCTGTGGTACCTTACGATAGTTTTAGAGTGGACATCATTCGTCTTTTATTTTATAGGTGGGAAAACAGGACCAGGGGGGCCCTAGTAGTTGTTATGCACCGTCTAGTTTTTCCCATGGAATAAATATGTTTGGTCTCCCTAGCTAGAATACAGTCTTCCTCAGAGTAGAAACAGTATTTCCTGTGCCTACTGGCATAGGGGTATGGTGTTAATATTTAAGACAAGGCTGTGCTGGGTGTGGCAGTACACACCTTTAATCCCAGCACTTGGGAGGCAGAGGCAGGAAGATGTCTGTGAGTTCAAGGCCAGCCTGGTCTACATAGTGAGTTCCAGGCCAGTTGGAACTACAGAGAGACTCTGTCTCAAAAAGACCAAAAAAAAAAAAAAGGCTATAAAGAATGTGGAGAGGGATGGGGTGGAGGGTGACACAGTCCTCCTGTAATCCCAGCACTTGACAGAAGGAGGCAGAAGGATCAGTTCAAGACCAGTCTCAGCTACATAGTGAGTTTGAGGATAACCTTGGCCACATAAGAGTCCAAAAAAAAACAGCAAACAAAAAAGTGTGGAGAGGAAGAGGGGAGCCATTGGACTGTGTGTGGTGGGTAAGGGTCTCTGTTCCTTCTTAAAGCATCCAGAGGTAGCAAAGCTGGGGAGGGGCAGGGTGTTAAGGGTCTCAACCATTGTCCCCTCCTTGTTCCCTACAGCCTGTGAGGCACCTCCAGCAGTGCTCTTGGAAGTACAGGGCACCTTACAGAGGCCCCTGGGCCGTGACAGCCGCAGCTCCCCTACCAACTGCACCTGGCTTATCCTGGGCAGCAAGGAACAGACTGTAACTGTCAGGTGAGAAGCAAGGCCTCTCTGCTGCCCTTTTCCCCTCCCTGTGAAAAAGTCATAGATCATTTCTCTTTGGTATCTCCATCCTTGCAGTGGAAGAGTTGAACTGAGTTTGGCCTAGTCTTCTCTAAAAGCTTGGCTTGTTCTAGGCAGGAGATGGTAAATTGGAGCTGGGCTGCGGTACACATTTAGCTTGGGTATTGGCCATCTCCATAGGGCTGTAGGAATTATTCTGGGCTCAAATAGAATTGTTGGGAGGAGTCCATCAAGCCCTTGCTTGGCCTACTCCGCGATCAACTTAGAACCTTCCTCGGGGCTGCGAATGTATTCATAGCTCATTGGTAGAATACTAGTGTAGCATTCAAAAAAGCCTGGGTTCAGTCCCCAGCAAAACAAACCAACAGAAACACCGGCTCTGTTCCCTCCTCTTCCTCTTTCCTCCCCTTCCCCCTCCCTTCCTTTCTCTACCCTCTTTCCCCTGTTCTCCTCTCCCTTCTCTTCCCTGTCCTCTGTCCTCTCCCTTCCCTTTTCTTCCCTCCGTTTTCCTCTCCTTGTCTCTACCCTTCCTGCCTCTTTTTGAGACAGAATCTCACTGTGTAGCCCAGACTGACCTTAAACTTGTGATCCTCCTGCCTCACTTTCCCAAGTGCTAGGATTTCCTGTGGGCCACCATGCCCAGTTTTTGAGGGTTTTTTGTTTGTTTTTGTTTTTAAATATTTTATTAGTTTTATGTGTATGAGTGTGTATTGCCTGCATGTATGTGAGTGCACCTTGTGGTGCAATGCTGCAGAGCATCAGAAGAGGGCATCAGAGTTCCCTGGAACTGGATTTAAGGACAGTTTGTAGCACCCACAACTGGCTGTTTGCCTCACACAGTTTACTTGCTATGAATTTTTCCAGAAAGCAGTATGCAACAGGAGAGGGCAGTTTAGGGAAAGGTTGTTGGCCTAGGGGCTCGCTATAGGGGATTTTACCCCGTGGCTTATAGAGCCAGGAAGTTCTGGTTAACTGAGCTATAGAACATTTTGTCAGCTGTTGGTGGCACTTTACCTGGGTGATGATGATACTGTACCAACTGGAAAGCTATAAACCTGTCTTTTTCTTTTTTCTTTCTTTTTTTTTTAATGTGTATGAGTGTTTGGCCTGCATGTATGTAAGTGCACCACACGCATGCCTGATACCTGCAGAGGTCAGAAGAGGTAGTTGGAACCCCAGAACTGGAGTTACAGACAGATGTTAGCCACCGTGTGGATGCTGGGAACCAAACTCGGGTCCTCTGCAAGTGCAGCCAGTGCTCTTAACCACTGAACCATCTCTCTAGACCCAAAAATTCTGTTTTAACTCAGTCCCTGAACACAAGTCAATTTTTCCAAAGGGCTCTAGGGTATGTCACATGTTCTGATTGTGCCACAGGCCCGTTAGAACTTTCCCCTGTTGACTATATTTACTGCAGAAGGATTTATTTGAATTTTCATCTGGTTCTTTGAATAGTGGGTAAGCAGGTGTTTGTGCTTCTTGGGGAGAAGGAACGTGTCATCAGGGCAGGAGGTAGCTAGCAGAAATCCAGAACATCTCATGTCTTCCTTTCCTCTACCCGTGCAGGTTCCAGAAGCTGCACCTGGCTTGTGGCTCAGAGCGCTTAACTCTGTGCTCCCCTCTCCAGCCACCAGTCTCTTTGTGTGAGGCTCCTGCCAGTCCCCTACAGCTTCCAGGGGGCAATGTCACCATCACATACAGCTATGCTGGGGCCAGAGCACCTGTGGGCCAGGGCTTCTTGCTGTCTTACAGTCAAGGTAGGCTAGACAGGGAGTGCCCTGGGACCGTTAGAGCAGGAGTAAAAGCCCTGGGGAATACCGAAGGATCTTGAGGGCTGGTCTCTGTGTGCTACCTCTGCAGATTGGCTAATGTGCCTGCAGGAAGAGTTCCAGTGCCTGAACCACCGCTGCGTTCCCGCTGATCAGCGCTGTGATGGGATCGATGCCTGTGGAGATGGCTCCGATGAGGCAGGTTGCAGCTCAGATCCATTTCCTAGCCTGAGGCCAGCCCCTGCCCCCACTGTGCCCTGCAATCTTACCTTGGAAGACTTTTATGGGGTCTTTTCTTCCCCTGGATATTCACACTTGGCCTCAGTTTCCCACCCCCAGTCCTGCCTGTGGCTACTAGACCCCCATGATGGCCGGAGGCTGGCAGTGCGCTTCACTGCCCTGGACTTGGGCTATGGAGATGCAGTACATGTGTATGATGGCGCTGGGCCCCCTGAAACCCCAAGACTGCTACGTAGTCTTACCCACTTCAGCAATGGCAAGGCTGTCACTGTGGAAACCCTGTCTGGCCAGGCTGTTGTGGCCTACCACACAGTTGCTTGGAGCAGTGGCCGGGGCTTTAATGCTACCTACCATGTTCGAGGATACTGTTTACCTTGGGACCGACCCTGTGGCTTGGGCTCGGGTCTGGGGGCTGGAGAAAATCTAGGTGAACGCTGCTATAGTGAGGCACAGCGCTGCGATGGCTCATGGGACTGTGCTGACGGCACAGATGAGAAAGATTGCCCTGGTTGCCCCCCCGGGCACTTCCCCTGTGGAGCTGTGGGCACCCCTGGTGCCACAGCCTGCTACCTGCCTGCTGACCGCTGCAACTACCAGACCTTCTGTGCGGATGGGGCAGATGAGAGACGCTGCCGGCATTGCCAGCCGGGCAACTTCCGGTGCAGGGATGAGAAGTGTGTGTATGAGACGTGGGTGTGTGACGGGCAGCCAGACTGTGCGGATGGCAGCGATGAGTGGGACTGCTCCTATGCCCTGCCCCGGAAGGTCATCACCGCTGCGGTCATCGGCAGCCTCGTGTGCGGCCTGCTGCTGGTCATCGCACTAGGCTGTACCTGCAAACTGTATGCCATTCGCACCCAGGAGTACAGGTCAGTCGGAGTGGGGCTGGCTGTGGAAGAGGGGAGACTGAGGGTGAGATGAGGCCCTTGTGGGTCCAGGAAACAGTGAGCAGGTCCACCTTGAGATGACCTGGGACAAACCATGGCATAGCCCCATCTGTCCCTAGAGTGGGATGAAGGGAAGAGGTCCGTCTAGGCTGGGGCAGCTGCCCTTTCAGGAAGTGACCAGTGACTGAGCGCCCTCCTTCCTTCCAGCATCTTTGCCCCCCTTTCCCGGATGGAGGCTGAGATCGTGCAGCAGCAGGCACCCCCTTCCTATGGGCAGCTCATTGCCCAGGGTGCCATCCCACCTGTTGAAGACTTCCCTACAGAGAGCCCTAATGACGTAAGTCATCCCCCGACTCTAGTCCTGCTAGTACCAGCCTTGCACCCCACTGCGGCTCTGCCACTGCACCACTCTTCGTCCAGCCACTTAGCCCCCCGACTCTGATGTCTGCCTCCTCTCCTTGCAGAACTCAGTGCTGGGCAGCCTGCGTTCTCTGCTCCAGATCTTGCGCCAAGATATGACTCCAGGAGGTCCCTCAGGTGGCCGTCGACGCCAGCGGGGCCGCTCAGTGCGACGCCTGGTTCGTCGTCTCCGCCGATGGGGCCTGCTTCCTCGAGCCAACCCCCCAGCTCGGGCCCCAGAGACCAGACCCCAGGTCACACCTGCTGTTCCCACTGAGGCCCTGGATGGCAGTACAGGTCCAGCCTGTGAGGGTGGGGCAGTGGGAGGGCAAGATGGGGAGCAGGCCCCTCCACTGCCCATCAAATCTCCCCTCCCAACGCCTAGCACATCTCCGGCCCTTGCTACTGTCTCTGAGCCCCCAGGGCCACTGCCTACAGCGCCCCTAGAGCCATCGCTATTGTCTGGAGTGGTGCAGGCCCTTCGAGGCCGCCTCCTGCCCACTCTGTGGCCCCCAGGACCCACTTGGACCCCACCTGGACCCCACACAACAGCTCTGGCCCCAGAGGATGAAGATGATGTGCTGTTAATGCCATTGGCTGAGCCTGGGGTCTGGGTGGTTGAGGCAGAGGATGAACCACTGCTTGCTTGAGGGGCCCTGACCCTCTTTGGGGCTCTAGACATGCTGGCACAACCCTTTAGAGATGGCTCAACTTCCCCGTTGATCTGTATAGCATTGGAAAGTTAGGTTTCCCTCAGGCGGGGCGAGTGCTCACTGAGAGCCCCTTCTGTGTGTGACCAGAGACCACACACCCTGTACCACCACTCTGCCCATCCCACTGCTATCCAGGTGGCTGTGTTAAGAAAAGTTCCTAAAGGATCATAGTCCTGGACACTCCTTGCCAAAAGCCCCACCCAGAAGTGGCCTTAAGCACCAGAACGTCAATTGGATGGAGATCTTCCAGGCTCCAAGGGGAGCATTTGGGCAGGGTGAGGTTTTCCAGCCTCTATCCCGATGGGGCCCACGTAAAGAACACACATGCTTTTGTCCCCTAGTTAGGTCATTGCCCAGGAAATTGAGGAAAAAATAAAGAATCATAAACTTCAGTGCATGGCAAGTTGGCTGTGAGCCTGTATCCTGCCTCTGCCCACCTCTGCTCCCTCACCTTGTTCTTCCTGGAGATGCCTCAGCTCAGCCATCTTCCTGTGTATATCTTCCAACTAACTGCCTGCTCTTGATTTTTATGCTACTCAGAAGAGAGGCCCATTCAAGGAACTGTAAGGACCAACCCTCCACTTTCATCACTGCCTGGGGCCCAGCCCTACACTGACAGGGGTGAGCATCAAGCCTGCAGGCCAGACATCAGGGAACCAGCTGGGCCCTGAAGTCAAGAAAGGGTCCATTTATGGAGTCCTGTGAGTGCACAGAGCAGAGCTGCAGTCTTCCCCAACAGAACACAGGAGCCACAATTCCCATTCTCTCAACCCCTTCAAAGCAGACAAAGGGGGAAAAAAAATCACGCTAAGGTTGTGCAAGTGCCTACATGACCAGCCAAATTTAGGAGATCTCCGTGGAAGAGAGCTGAAATCAGATTCTCACAGTACTGTCATCGGTTGCACTCAAGCTGAATTCCAGGTAGGACAAACAAACTTTAGGCAAGACAACCTCCTTAGAAAAGGCAGTGGGAGCCTGAGCAGTGGTCAGTTAAAGAGCTCTGGAGGGTGAATGAAATGCTGGAACCCTGCCTCTGGTGAGCAAGGTGGCAGAAGCTGCCCTTGAGTTTCAAAAGAAAATTGGCATCCCTAGCAGCAGTTCCCAGGAAACTGGCTCCCCTTGGGCCTTCCCTGAACTTGGTGGAGAGGCCACCACTGTCACACCCCGTAGTCTCTACACAATTATCTCCTTTCCTAGTGAACAAGAGTCTTGAGCAAGCAGAGTTTGTGGACCTGGTTGTATCCCTGGGATCCTTACCACTTGGGTCAAGGAAACCCTAAGCTCTAACTTCACACCCTCACCAGAGGTTGCGGACAGTCCAGGAAACCTGAATCTTGCTTCTGCTCCCTTTGGGCACTCACTCCCACAGGCAAATACTCCTTGCACCCTCCATTCCCACCCCACATCAGGGCCAGTTACATCATCAAGCAGGGATTGCGCTTTCTCCCCCATGCCCCCGCCACAGTCTTTCTTCTTACTGTAGCCACCCTAAAACCCTCCCACCTGTATTTTCATCCCTTGGCCTCTTCCAGACCTTTTCCCTCTTAGAAGGGATTTGCAACATGAATATGGACAAAGATTTAAGGTAAAGTGCTCCTGGTTGGAAAGTGTATCAGAATGTTGTATGGAGTTCTTGAAAGCAGAGTTCACTAGGGAGGTCTGTGCTTAGAGGTAATAGTACCTGAAAGAAGTTCCTCCTCTCCTGGGTTATGTGCCCAGAAGGTGCAAGCAGGAACATATCTTTTGTAAACCACAGTGCAGTCCCAGGGTTGGTAGGAAAGGGAACTGACCTTGTAACCACAGCATGGGGAAACAAACAGGCCTTCCTGAGTGAGGTTGGGGAACTAAGGAGCAGTCACTTAGATTTACTTTTTTTTTCCCTTTTTTGAGACAGGGTCTTGTGTATCTCAAGGCCTCCCAAGAGCTGGGATGCAGCCCACACCAGGTTTATGCAGTGCTGGAGATTGAACTCGGAACTTCATACATGCTAGGGCCGATAGCTTCCTCGGTTCAAGTGTACTTTGACCAGGGCCCAAGAAAAAGAAAAGAGGTGTGTTAGGTAGTTTTCTGCTACTGTAACAAATACCTGAGAAAACTAAAATAAGGGCAGGAGCCAGGCTTGGTGGCACATGCCTTTAATCCCAGCACTCAGGGAGGCAGATCTCTCTGAGTCCTCCAAGGCCAGCCTGGTCTACATAACAAGTCCAGGCCAATTGGGCTACTGGGAGACCCTGTCTCAGAGAAAAAGAGTAGTGGTGTGCACACTATAATCTAGGCCGGCCTGCGTTACATAGCAAGACCCTGACTTAAACACCCAAAATGTTATTTTGGCTCTCGTTTTTTGAGTTTTAGTCTGTGGTGCTTGATGGAAGGAGCAACACCTCATAGCAGGAATTCAAGGCATAGCAGAATTGCTCACTAATAGGTAATGCAGTGGGAGAGGAAGAGACCAGGTCCCACAATCCCCCTGGAGGTCATGCCCCAGTAACTGAAAACCTTCTGTTAAGCCCCCTTCAGAGTGCCAGGGACTGAGACCAAACCATTAACACATGGACCTCTGAGGGATAGTCTAGATTGAAAATATAGGATAAGGGCTGGATAGCTGGCTCAGCTGTTAAGAGCACTGGCTGCTCTCAAAGAGGACCCAGGTTTGGTTCCCTTTAGCCACATGGCAGCTAACAACCATTCTTAACTCCAGTTCTGAGGGATCCATCACCACCTAACCTCTGCAGGCACTGCATGACTTACATGCAGGCAAAATGCTCATTAAAATGTCAAAAAATTTAAAGAAAATATAGCATAAGAGGACTTAAAATGCTATTCAGAGAGATGCCGCTAAGATCAGTCTCAGGAGTGTGGGACCCCTGTGAAGGTTCTTGGGAGAGCAAGCGTTCAACATAAGATAGGGAATCAGGCCAGGTGTAGTGGCGCACCCCTTAATCCTAACACTTGGGAGGCAGCTCTCTTAAATTGAGGCCAGCCTGGTCTCCATAGCCAATTCCAGGTTAGCTGTGGCTATAGGGAGACCATGTCTCAGAAAAAAAAAAAAAAGGGATCAGAGGATTGCAGATGCAGCTCAGCAGTACAGGACTTGCTAGTGTGTGCAAGGCCCTGGGTTCCATCCCCAGCACTGCCAAAAATAGAGAAACACTCTTCAACACATTGATGTTCGGAGCCAGTGATGGCACAGTGGGTAAACGCACCTGACACCAAGTCTAAAAATCCAAGTTCAGTTCCGGACCCGCATAGTGGAAGGAGGGAAACAACTCCCCCAAGTTTTCTCTGATCTTTATGTTCCATGGCACGTGCACACACAATAAAATGTAATTTTTAAAAATTGAGATCAGACTGAATCAGTCCCAGATGACAAAAATACTGGGAATTTGTCCGGAGCAAAACTGTGGTCCTGAACCAGGCTGCAGGCCCTGCTGGAAGGAGAAGAAACCAATACGCACACATCCCTAGCCACCCACAAAAGTGTGCTGGAATTGGGCACGTGTGGTTTGCTAGATGCTGTTCTCATGTATGGCTGACCTAGAACACAGCTGTGCTGTGGGCCTTGTCAGCTCCTCTCTCTCAGGTTCAGGATTTAGACCTGGCTACATGTGGGTCCAAATCTTTATATTTTATTCTTTTTATGTGTATGCGTGTATGTGTATGTGTATGCTTGTAGGTAATTGCACCTGTGTCACGCAATGCCGGAGGAGGACAGAAGAGTCTGTCAGATCCCCTGGAACTGGAGTTACGGACAGTTGTTAGCCACCATGTGGGTGCTGGGATTTGAACCCAAATCTTCTGCAAAAACAACCAGTGTTCTTAACTGCTGAGCCATCTCTGCAGCCTGTGGGTCCAAATCTTAACCCCACTGTCCATAGAGCCTTCTGTTTCTGAGAGTGCTGCTCAGGCCAGTATGCAGCAGCAGACAGTTCCAACCTCCTCTTAGTGAAATGATGGGGAGGGTTCAAAGTGAAACCCACCCTGCACCTGTGGTCCATGGCCGGAGCAAAGAGGCAGAAGTTGTGCTGGAGAACTGTTTCTGGCATCGCAGAAATGAATCCAAGTGACTTCCAGATACTTAAAGCTTGTATCTTTACAATGTTTTCTTTGTGTTTAGTTTTGAGATAGAATTTGCTGTGTAGCCCAAGCTTGTCTCCAACTCAGCATCTAGAGGGATTACATATGTGTCACTATGACTAGGCCCAGCTACTTTACAATATAAAACTTAAAAGTAGGGCTGTGAATATAGCCCAGTGGTAATGTGCTTATCTTACGTGTGTGAGGTCCTGGGTTTGATTCCTAGAATTTCTAAAACTAAAAAATAAGCTGGGCGTGGTGGCACATGCCTTTAGTCCCAGCACTCGGGAGGCAGAGGCAGGTAGATCTGAGTTCAAGGCCTTCTTTCTCCTAAGCTTCCTATATATAATATACTACTTTGTTCTTTTTTAGAATATTTTTTTTCTCTATGTGTATGAGTGTATTGCCTGCGTGTATGGAAGTGCACCCATGTTGTGTGTTGCCCATGGGAGTCAGAAGAGGATATCACATTCCCCTGGAACTGGAGTTACAGACAGTTGTTACCTGCCATGTGGGTGCTGGGAATTGAACCCAGGTTCTCTGCAAGAACAGTCAGTGTTCGCTTGTTTGCTCTCTTTCTTTTTTTTTTTTTTGATCTTTTTGAGACAAGATTTCCCTGTAGCCCCAGCTGTAGGCTAGCCTCAAATTCACAGAGATCCACCTACCTCTACAAGTCCTGGGATTAAAGGCTTGTGCCACCACACCCAGCTAGCCTGTTCTCTTAACTGCTGAACCATCTCCCCAGCAACCTAGACTACTACTTTCTTAAAAAAAAAAAATCCAGACATGTGGCACATGCTTGTAACCCCAAACGTTTGGGAGGTTGGAGGCAAGAGGATCACCATGTCCCAGCACTCAGAGGGAGGCAGAAGCAGGCAGATCTCTGAGTTCCAGGCCAGCCAGGGCTACATAGTTGAGACTCTGTCTCAAAAAAACAAAAAAGATCACCATGAATTTAAGGCCGCCCTGGAGTACAAAGTGAGTTCTAGGATAGCCTAGGCTACAGAGGTGAGATTCCATCTCAAAAAATTAGAGGGTAGGAGAGATGGCATAGTGGTTAAGGGCACTTTCTGGTCTTCCAAAGGACCCAAGTTCAGGTCCCAGCACCCATGTCAGGTGGTTCACAACCACCTGTAACTCCAGTTCCAGGGGATCCAGTACTCTAAATGCCATCTTGCCTCTGCAGGCAACTGCACACGTGGGACACACAAGAGAGAGAGAGAGAGGGAGAGGAGAGCTGCAAATCACTCATGGAAAGCAATGATTGTCAAGGGTCCTTCCTCTTAATGTGCTCTTGCTACAGGGATGCACATGGACATATCAAAGCTGTGAATAAAATAAGATTAAGTAAGCGGTGACTGGGGACTAAAGGCTCTAGTGAGTAAAATGCATTGTGTTTTAGCTGCGAGGAGTACTTTGTGCTCCTTCCAGATCCTGCCCCATAGCTGACCTCCAGGTCAGTGAAGAGGAACCACACATATCCCAGGAGCACTTGGTGCTTCCATTGGAAAAGTCCACTGAGGATAAGCAAAATATACCCCTAGTAATAGAAGTCTTGGAATAGTTAAGGCAAGGAAAGCAGCATAGTATAGAAACAAGGTAGGAGGGAGTCTGGTTTTGGGAAGATCCAAGTGGGAATCCTAATGATGTGCAGGATTGCTTTGGGATCAGGCCACCCACCTACCACTCAAAACCTTACTCATGAAAGGAGCTATCAGTACTTTGGCAGAATTAGGGTGAAGCAGAAAGAGGACACCAGACCATGTGGTGTGTGATTAAGGATGCCTGGGAGGCTGACATGAACAGAAACCCGAAGGGAAAGGGAGCTGAGCAGACAGGGACGGTGAAGTTCACAGAGGTAGACACCATCCACTGTGGGTTAGCTTTGTCTCCCCTTTTGGCTACTGATTAACCCTGGCTTGGTGGACCTGGAGCGGAGAGGAGGTGAAGGAGTCCTGCTTCAACCTACCAGCAAAATAAACCGGCACAAGCAAACCGGCCTCCTGAGCTCTGTTTAGGGATCCCTGTGGCTTAGCCCTGAAGCCACAGAGGGAAGGAGAGAGGCGTGCTAGGGTGACCGACCCTCCACTTCTCCACCTCCTGGCCTATTTCTTTGTCTTTCAAATGAGCCTTTAGTCTGTCTGCCATCCTCTAAGCGGCTGAGCACCCAACTTTGAGATGGAAACAACAGACAAATGGTGCATAGTTCTGGATCCTGGAGCAAAAGACCTCTGGCTTTCCTGGGTCCGGAAATTCTGCCCCCTTTAACTCCCTTACCCATGAACCCCTCCCCCGAAACCTTCTCCGAAACCTTGTCTCTTCCACCCCTCCGTTGGGTTATGCCTTAACCTGGCTCCGCCGTGAGTATTCTCCCAGAGGGAAATGACACAAAGAAAAGGGAGGGGGACAGAAGGAGGGAATCCCGCTTACATCACTGCTCATTAGCATATCTGACCTCATCAGGGGGCGGGGCAATTTCCCCAGGTGTGGGGAGGGAGGGCGGTATTTAAAGGGAAAAGCTGACAGTGCTGCCGAGTGAGGGAACCGGTGCTGGGAGCTGCAGGCTGCACTCGCACGCCGATGCACACGGACCTTAACACCAACATGGACACGGACACAGAAACCACAGCACTTTGTTCTTCCAGCAGCCACCAGGCCTCCCCACCAGGGACACCCACACCAGGTGAGGGCAAAGCTGAATAGGTTCGGGTTGAATCCATGGGTGGGGAAACTGAAGCTTTGGTAGGCAGGTCAGTACTAGGGCTCAGTCAGCAAGAAGGGAAGAGCGAGTCAAGCAGCAGAGAGGATCCCGCACATAGGTCTGCACTGCTAAGGTGGAGGGAGAGAGGAGCTGTCCAGATGCCCCTCCCCCAACACTCCAGGGCTTTGCTAGGGAAACTGGTACTCGGCTCCTAGGTCAGCCTCATCCCTGATAGGCTGGGACCCACCAGAGGGTAGGGAGGAAGGAAAGGGGCAGCCCACAAGCCTGGGAATCACCAGCTGAAGGGCTGCCCTGGGGACCTGTTGTAAGCGTTTCTTCCAGCTCCGGCCTTGGCTGCCTGCCAGATATTGATCCTGTGCTATTTACAGCCTCTCTCCATCCCCCTTTTGTTGTGTCTGTTGTTGCTCCTCCGGTTATCCCAATCCTTGCGTCGGCACCCTCCCTCTCCCCCTACCCTCTCCACCTCTACTTCCCCATGAACACACTATTCTCTCCCACTCACTGGGACAGCTGAGGATGCAGAAAGATTCTCTCACACACAACCGTACCCTGGGAATGCTCACTTATGGGGGCACGAGAAACAAAGCCCCTCTAACACATACACACACCCCAGACAGAGAGCCCGACACACACATCATCCTACCAAGCCAGGGAAACAGGCTCCCTACAAAGTTTTTATTGTGCAAAATCTAAGCAGCAGCTTCAGCTCAGCCCTCTCAGTTGGAGGATTATGAGATGCAGGAAGCAATAGGAGGCAGGGTCCATTAGTGGAAAAATGGACAGCTTCTCCCAACTCACCAGGCCAGCAGCCTAGTCTAGGAGTGTGCCTATGTCAGTGTAAGGTGTGAGTGGGTGTGCAAGCCTGTGCACAAGGGCTTCCCCTACATGTTTTGTATAGGTTGTGGCTCAGATCACAATGGGAAAGTATGGTGCTAGCTTCTTGAAAGCTTGTCATCTTAGGTTTCTGGGTAACTTTAGTGTAAGAGGCTAAAGATTCTCAGTTCCTCAGGGGTCATAGTCTTTAACTGGGTGAAGCAGAGCAACCTGAATTAAGTCCTCAGCAGATGGTAGGTGTACCTCCCTCCTGGCTTGCTTTTCTCGGCCCCTCTAGAAGCAGATGCTATACTTCTGAAGCAGAAGCCAGAGACACTGTTGGCAGAGTTGGACAGGAGTGGGCCACCGCCTGCCCCCGGGGCCCCCAGACGAAGAGGCAGCATGCCTGTGCCCTACAAGCACCAGCTACGGCGGGCCCAGGCTGTAGATGAACTTGACTGGCCACCTCAAGCCTCATCCTCTGGGTCTTCTGATTCCTTGGGCTCAGGAGAGACAGCCCCTGCCCAAAAGGATGGCATCTTTAAGGTCATGCTCGTGGGGGAGAGTGGCGTGGGCAAGAGCACTCTAGCAGGCACATTTGGAGGTCTCCAGGGAGACAGTGCTCATGAGATGGAGAATTCAGGTATTTGGGGACACCCTGTTGGGATTGAAGGGGCTCTAGGGCCCTAGTCAGGAATCAAAGTGCTCCTGGAGGACAGAGCCCAAGAGAAGCTTCTCTAATGCTTTCTGTACTAGCCTCCCTGGAGAGGATTCCCTGATGCTGGGAGTGATGGTGTTCCTGGTTACTAGGTCTCACAAGTTGGGGAACCTCCTCACAGGCTTTATCCCCTCTATTTCCCAACAGAAGACACCTATGAGCGACGTATCATGGTGGACAAAGAAGAAGTGACTTTAATTGTCTATGACATCTGGGAACAGGTAAGGACTCAGATTCAGCTGTGAGCAGGTGATGGAGCTGAAGAATGGGAAGGGCAGTCTGGCTGAAGGCCGGGGGACTGTAGGTCCTGGCTTCAACGTGAGCCAGAACATGGCTTTTCATTTTACCACCTCAGAGACAAAGGCCCACCACAATGTATCTAACACATGGTCATAAGACCCACGGTTTCCCCAGGACCTTTCTGCCTAGACAAAAGTTAGACTCTGAATCTGACAAACTCTTCAGCTTCAAGTCAGGCTAGACACCCAGAAATTGACCCAAGCATAAATATTTCATCCTGGGAGTCTGATGTGACAGGACAAAAGGTCGGGGCTCTAGAGTAACAGGAGAGGGGAGGAATATGTGAAGACTTCTGAGTACTTGAACATAATATTACTATGTAGAAATGAGATACTAAATTATAAGTTTTTTGTTTATTTGGGGAGGGGTCAGGGTCTCGTTTGTAGCCTGTACTGATGTGGAACTCATAGCAATCTTCTTGTCTCAATCTGCTGAGTGCTGGGATTACATTTGTGCATCACAATTCCTGGTTTATGCTGTGTTGGGACTCGAACCCAGGGCCTTGTGCATGCTAGGCCCTTAGCTACATCCTTAATCTCTACATATTCGTGAATAACATTCTTTTCTGAATCAATCTCTTAAGCCTGGGGTTGGTGAGAGGGCTCAGCTGGTAAAGGAGTTTGCCACCATGCCCAGAGACCCAAGTTCAATTCCCAGGACCCACATGGTGGAAGGAGAGAACCAATCCCCAAAAGTGCTGACTTCTATGCAAGCTCAGTAGCACACATGTGCCCCCACCACACACACACAGACGCACGTGCACACACAAAATAAGCCTAAGGAAGAAGATGGCTAACCTAGTCTGAGATCTTATTTCCCCATTTCTCCCATATGGAGTTCACATCACTAACTTCTCCCTCCTCCACAAAGTCTCTGGGTTTGGAGATTCTGCCATCAACTAGCAAGCGGCTTTGCTCTCACAGTTGGATTCCTCATCATGAGATACAGGTTCCAGGCTGAGTCCCTATGCCTCCGGCCCTAACATTCTCTGGTGCCCCTGTTGTCTGCAGGGGGATGCAGGTGGGTGGCTGCAGGACCACTGCCTTCAGACGGGGGATGCCTTTCTCATCGTCTTCTCAGTCACGGATCGAAGAAGCTTCTCCAAAGTTCCAGAGACCCTTCTTCGGCTCCGGGCTGGGAGACCCCACCACGACCTACCTGTCATCCTTGTCGGAAACAAGAGTGACCTGGCCCGCTCCCGGGAGGTATCACTGGAGGGTGTGTATCCTGAAACCCACTCCATACTTGCAATCTCAAGAGGTGACTTTCCAGGTCACTCTTCTCCCCGAGGCCTTTTACCCTCACCTGTGCATGCACTTGTCTGCATTTGGCCCTGGAGTCAGGGCAGAGCCCCATTACCTAGCTCCCGGGTACCTTCAATTGCCCTCCATTCCTCCTGCTCTCTTGCTCTTCCCTCGCACCTCCCCTGCCCCCCGCACACGATCCCAGGTCTTGGAGATGGGGGTTCGGTAGTCCCATCCCCTCTCCTTTCCCGCGGGCCTGCGCTGGCCCACCCTAGCCACAAGCTGCGGGGTGGGCGCCTGAGCTGCCGCTTCCCTCAGAGGGCCGCCACCTGGCTGGAACGCTGAGCTGCAAGCACATCGAGACGTCGGCCGCGCTGCACCACAACACTCGGGAGCTCTTCGAGGGCGCAGTGCGCCAGATCCGGCTGCGGCGGCTCCGGGGCCGCGCGGGAGGCCAGCGGCCAGAGCTAGGCAGCCCCGACGGCCCCGCGCCGCCCGCGCGCCGCGAGAGCCTCACCAAGAAGGCCAAGCGCTTCCTCGCCAACCTGGTGCCGCGCAACGCCAAGTTCTTCAAGCAGCGCTCCAGGTCGTGCCACGACCTCTCAGTGCTCTGAGCGGCTGTCGCCAAGGCCACTGCCGTCTCCATGGCCACCGCGCCCTCCGCTCGCCCCCTAGTCTAGGAAACCAAAAATGCGCAGGACGCCCAGGTGCGAGCGAGAGGAGGGCTCGCCGGCCACCGCACCCACGCCTGGGCACCTCGCCCCCCACTGCGCTCGAGGCGTGGACGCCACCTCGGGGGCCCATGGCAGCGTCGGGAAAGAAATCAGCCCTGCAAGGTTTTGTTTTGTTTCGTTTAATTAGCTCGCGCTTGACCGCCTCTCCTGTAAAGAGACTCTAAAAAGTAGAACTGGAAAAGTGCTTTGTAAACTCCTGGATGGAGTTGACATCCTTGGTACTCTGAACATGCCTCACTTTTAAGAAAGTTCAAAGGAAAAAACCCAGAGAGACTCTTCCAGAGATTTCTGATAATGTTTTCTTATTTGCTGCCCTTAAGAAGTTGTTAAAGGCAAGGATCTAGAAGTGCTATTCCTGAGATTAGACTGTGATTTACCATTCCATGTGGCACTTGCCCTTTAAGGTTATTGAAGTTAAGGTATGGGCAGATTTTCTGCCCTAAGGCAGAGCTGAGTGGTAGCGACCCCTTTAGCCCAGGGCCCAGGAAGTGCCAGCAAAGGGTCACCCCTTTCCTTTACAATAAAGACTTTTTCTATTGCTGTCTCTTCATGTTGGCTTTCTGTTCTTGTAGTCCTCAGAGAAGGAGCAGATGTGGATAGATGCTGCTGTTACAGGCAAGAAAACTTGGGGGGCCTGAGAAGCAAGGGACCTAAAAGTCCAGGGAAGGTCTGGAACTGACTTGGTCCTGGGGTAGACCCTTAAAGAGTCAGAGCTAGAGAGAAACAGACCTGCTAGAAGTACGGGGACCCAGTCTGGATGCCATCTCTTTATCCTTCCCCATCCTTCAGGGAACAGGCAGGAGGCTACTTTAGTTCCAGACTTACCCAACTTTGACTTGGTTTGGCTCAAGGTGGGGGCTACATCTCCCATGGATGCCTATTACCTGGGGCCTGATGAGGTGGGCTTGTACCTTCCTTGTCAGGGCCCCACAGCCCCAGCTGTCACCTGCAAAGCCTGTGTGAGAACTGAAGCTGTCACTGCCTCCCCTGGGGACACCCACGCCTGCTGCTGCCTGATCCATGAATTTGAACAAAGGGAGCAGAGGCAGCAGCTCTCCTCACCTCTAGACATTCAGTGCAGCTATCTGAGTATGGGAGAGAGAGCCAGGCCTCCAACCTACCACATCAGCCTCCTAGAAGTTGGTAGAAGGAGGTCAAGTGCTTCTTGAGTCCTTGCAGCTGACAGAGCTGGGGGTCTGGGCAGCCCAGCATAGAGATAAGATGGTAATATAAATGAAATTATCCTTAGGGATAGATTTGACTGCATCTGTTAATTTCTTAAAGACTACAGAAGGTGTTACTGTCTCTTTTACAATGGAAGAAACAGTTTAAGTAGCTTACCTGTAGTTATCCAGTAAGCAACAGAGTTGTGATTCCACTGTGTGCTTGCTTTGAATCTAGCTTTAAATTTGAGATTCCCCTTCCATGAAGATGGAAGAGGTTGAAGTATAATAGAAAAGATTCAGGGACACAATGGGCAGAGTCACGTGGCTGTGGTGAAAGGCCTGAGAAATTGCAGGGCTCTAGTGGGAGGGAGCAGGCTCTAAACTGTGTGAATAGAGGCAGTTCAGCTTGGAAAATGCAGGAAAATACACAGGGCCAATAAGGGACCAGATGGTTGTACAGTTGGGTTGAAACCTCAGGGACATGAAGAGGAGGGGTAAGAGATGAACATGGAAAAGATTTGGAGCCCTACCACAAAGGACCTTAAATGCCAGGCAAAGGAGTTTGTGCCTAACTGCAGGAAGTGAGTCATTGAAGGTCTCTAAGTGTAGACGCGACATGTTAGATGGTCCTTGGGGAACAGGAGGCTGGTAGAATTGTGCTTGGACTGCAGTAGCAGAGGCAAGACTGTGGAACTGAGTTAGGGGACTGGGAACAGTGGCACATACAGAAGGTAATGATGCGTCATCCTAGCGGGAGGCAATGGAAAAGAACACGAAGCACAGGCTTGAGGGCCAGCGCCGATGGGACTTGGTCTAACACTCAAGAGACTCAACAGGGGGATCATGAGTTTGGACCTAGCCTGGGCTACAACAGAGAATTCAAGACCAGCCTAGACTACGTGGGAAAGCCTTGTCTCAAAAGCAAACAGTGGAGGAGATGGCACTGGCTGTTCTTGCATAGGACCTAGGTTTGGTTCCCAACACCTACACAGTGATTAACAACCATCTGTAGCTCCAGTTCCAGGGGGTTCAATGCCCTCTTCTAGGCTCTGCAGGCATCGTGGGACACAGGTGCACTTACATACATGCAGGCAAAACACTTATGCACATAAAATTAAAAAAATTTCAAAAACAAAATACCAAGAGCTGGGCGTGATGGTGCACACCTTTAATCCTAGCACTCAGGAGGCAGAGACAGGTGGATCTCTGTGAGTTCAAGGTCAGCCAACTTGGTCTATATAGTGAGTTCCAGGCCAGCTGAGGAGCCTATTCTGTTTCTAAAAGTAGACACAAAATAATTGTACATATTTGTGGAGTACAGTGTGATAGCTAAATCAGTCTACAAAAACTGAGTCTTAATCAGTTAATTCTAATCGAACTCTATACTTGGGCTGGGGAGGTGGCTCAGAGATGAAAGCATTTGGAATTCTTGGCATTCATGTAAACCTTTAATCCTAGCACTCAGGAGGCAGAGACAGGTGGATCTCTGTGAGTTCAAGGTCAGCCAACTTGGTCTATATAGTGAGTTCCAGGCCAGCTGGGGCTACGGGGAGACCCATCTCAAAAAGGCCAAATAAATAAATAAATAAAAGATTGGTGCAAGTACAAAATGACAGGAATGCATGAGGATCTAGGGTTGGGGTAATAATGGGAAGAGGTGGTGTCTTTGTTACTCTTCCTGTTCCTGTGATAAAACGCTCACAAAAGCAATTTAAGTGTCAAGGGTTTATTTTGGCTCACAGTTGGAGGGTACGGTCTGTCGTGGAGGGGTAGACCTGGTGGTCGGAGCTTGAGGCAGCTGGTCACATTGCATCTACAGTGAAGCAGTAAAGAGTGACAAACACTCAGGTTCAGATAGCTTCCTCTTAAAAAAAAAAAAAAAAAAAAAAGTATAGGGCTAGAGAGATGGTTAGCAGTTACCAGCACTGGTTGTACTTAAAGAGATGTGAGGTTTGCATGTTTTCATCAGATACAAAGTCTCTGTGACCCAACAATGACAAGCCATGAAAGTGCTGGGGAGAGGAGCTAGGGAGCTGGGTAATCAGAACACAGGAAGGTTACTTTTTTTTTTTTTTTTTTTTTTTTTTTTTTTTATCTTTTTGAAGCAGGGTCACCCTGTAGCCCCAGCTGTAGACCAGGCTGGCCTTGAACTCACAGAGATCTGCCTGCCTCTGCCTCCCAAGTGCTAGGACTACAGGTGTGTGCCACCACGCTTGGCTGAAGGTTACTTTTTTGGTGTTATTTTATTTTATTTTTTCAGCTAGGGCTGGCCTTGGAGTTGCTATGTAGCTGAGGATGGCCCAGATGTCCTAATTCTTCTGCCTCTGCTTCCTGAGTACTCTGACTACAGGTGCCAACCATCATGCCTGGTTTTATTTGGTACTGTGGCATCATGCATGCTGTACAAGCACTCTCCCAACTGAGCCACATCCTCAATTCTTAGTGGGGTTGTTTTTTGTTGTTGTTTGTTCAGAGACAGAGTTCTGTGTAGCCCTGGCTGGCCAGGAACTCACAATGTAGACCAGACTGTCCTTGAACTTAGAGATCTCCCTACCACCTTGCCCAGCCTCCTAGTATTTTTTTAATTAAAAATTCCTCTTTTGCTGGGCATGGTGGCACACGCCTTTAATCCCAGCACTTGGGAGGCAGAGGCAGGCAGATCTTTGTGAGTTTGAGGCCAGCCTGGTCTACATAGTGAGTTCCAGGAAAGCTGGGGCTACAAGGAAACCCTATCTCAAAAAGACCAAAAAAAAAAAAAAAATTACTCTTCAGTCTGGCACGGTGGTGCATACCTTTAATCCCAGCACTCGGAGGCAGAGGCAAGTAGCTCTCTGTGAGTTTGAGGCCAGCCTGGTCTCATAACAAGTTCCAGGCCAGCTAGGGCTATAGGGAGACTCTGCCTCAAAAAAAATCTATATGTGTGTGTGTGTGTGTGTGTGTGTGTGTGTGTGTGTCTGTGTCTGTGTCTGTGTAATTTGTGTGTGTGTGAGCATATACATGCTATGGTGTACATGTGTAGTCAGAGGCTAACTTGCAGAAATTGGTTCTTTCCTTCTGCCGTGAGGGTCCTGGGGATTGAACTCTGGTGATCAGGCTCAGTGGTAAGTGCCTTTACTCACTGAGCCATCTCACTGGCCCCTGTTTTTGTTTCTGAGACATGATCTCACACTGTAACCCAGGCTATCGTTGTACCTTCAGCAATCCTCCTGCCTCAGCCTCCCAAGTACTGGAATTACAGGTATAAGCCACCACATCTGGCTTTGAATTTTCAATCATGGCATTTATTGCTTGTTAAAGAATAAATAAGGATAAAGCCAGGCATGGTAAGTACACACCTGTGATACCAGAATTCATGAGGTAGAAGCAGAAGTTCAAGACCATCTCAAAAAACAAAACAAATAGGGGCTGGAGAGATAGCTCAGCAGTTAAGAGCACTGGCTGCTCTTGCAGAGGACCCAGGTTTGGTTCCCAGCACCCACATGGCAGCTAACAAGCACTCATAACCCCACTTCCAGAAGATCCAACGCTTCTGTGGTCATTACACATATATGGCTCACATATATGCAGGCAAATCACTCATATATACAAAATAAAAATTAAAGACAAGCGCTGTGGTACACACCTTTAATCCTAGCACTCGAGAGGCAAAGGCACGCCAGATATATGTGAGTTCAAGGCCAGCTTGGTCTACATAGTGAGTTCAGGCCAGCTGGGGCTACAGGGAGATCCTGTCTCAAAAAAAAAAAAAAACAAAAAACAAATAAACATCGAAATATAGAAATTAAAAACTAAAAAGACAAATAACCATAATAAGTTAAAATAAACAAGCTTGATGTGGTAACACATACCTTTAATTCCAACACTCAGAAGGCAGAGGCAGGTCAATTTCTATGAGTCTGAAGCCAGCCTGTATACATAGAGAATTCCAGGCCAGCCAGGGGTACATAGTGAAACGCTGTCTAGAAAGAAAGGAAGGAGGGAGGGAGGGAGGGAAAGAAAAGAAAGAAAGAAAGAAAAGAAAGAAAGAAAGAAAGAAAAAGGAAGAAAGAAAAAGGACATAAAAATAAAGACAAGGGGCTGGAGAGATGGCTCAGCAGTTAAGAACACTGACTGTTCTTACAGAAGACCCAGGTTCAAATCCCAGCACCCACATGGCAGCTAACAACTGTCCATAACTCCAGTCCCAGGGGATCCGACAACCTCTTCTGTCCTCCGCGGGCATTGCATGACACAGGTGCACTTACCTACATGCAGGCAATACACACATACACATAAAATAATAATAAATAAAATATTTTTAAAAGTAAAGAGAAGGGGCTGGAGAGATGGCTCAGCGGTTAAGAACACCAGTTGTTCTTGCAAAAAGACCC